ATGCTGTTTATCGTTCTTATATAAAAAGATTTTCAGATGGTCAGGCTATTTGGAACTGGGAAACTTCAATCTAGGGCGCCCTGGTCATGAATAAAATTATGCCTTTAATAACACTGTACAACACAAAGTTTTTCTCACAATATCCAATACGTAATTCTTGTAGAGTTTCTCATGCTAAAAACGAATCCATAAGTAGAAATGTTCTATTATGTACCATTTCCGAAAAATAGTGGTTCTTTAACCCTTTCGCTACTACGGGCCACTATAGTGGCCTTCCATAAGATGCCACTGAGGTACTACGGGACACTATAGTTATAGTGACCCGCCAAGAGATGCCAATGAGGTATTGTGGCCGACTAACAGTTTTGCATAAGTATCTCACTCGGGACATGCACTGATAGTATTTTGTTTTGCATCATTTGGCGTCGCGTAGCGTGCAGTACTGTCGCAGCGCTCCGTTCAGTGGAAGCACCGCGGCGGAGCGAAACGGTTAAAAAATTCATCATTTTCGGGAAAATTAGATATTCCGAATTTGTTTTTGATAGGAAAATCTATACAAATCACTTAGTGGATATTGCATACAATGAAAAAAGTTTGCCGTTGGACTGTCTAATATAAATATCACGAAGTGGAGCGAACAGTGCCGTTATTGTACTTCTGACTTTAAGTAATTTTACATTCCAGAGAGGTTGTTCTGAAATATCATAAATGAAGATCAAAGCGTCCTACAAAGTAGCTGAAACTATACACTGATACGAATTTTGTCTTCGTTCGTTGAGGAATGTTGATTGAACAGCCTAACTCCATATTTTGGACTATTTGTTTATCAGGCTATCAGTAAATCAGCCAAAAATGCGATTTACCGAGATATTTTAGAAAAGTCATGTGACCGCTCCAGTCCCTTAACAAATATACAGGGTGAGTCACCTAAGACAAGCCACTTGAATATTATATCTATTATATTCCACAATTTACAAGATGCGAAGAAATATTTGGAATAAAAGTTGTTCAGTTATTAAGAGGCCATTAGCTTGTGACCAAATCTTCATCTCAAGCGGATGTACTTAGTAGACTTCAAACTGACATACACTTTTTTTTAAATAGAATCATGTATTTTTAAACATCTAAGGCTGTAGCCATTTTCAAGTAAAGAAAAATTAAAATTGTTTTCGACTTCTGAAGCCATGAATTAAATATATAATATTTCTTCCTATCTTGAAAATTGTGGAAGTTATTCAGGTGGCTGGTCTTAGGTGACCCACCCTATACAGGGTGATCCGTCTAAGT